GGTCGTTCTGTCAGTTTTAATCATTAACTCTGTTCATGTGAAATTTTTTATATTTTTTTTATGACATGGAGAAGACAACTTAAAAAACTACTGATATGGACAAAACATTATGCCATGTCATATTCTCACAAATCAAATGCACCAAAACCCCTCAAATGAGTCTCATATTACCTGCAAATAACCAATTATAAAGGATAATATGTCTATGAACCATAGAATGCTTTAGAACAGAATTTAGGCTCTATGTTGTCAAACCTAGCTACTGGATTTCATTGAAGCCACTAGGTTCATCAAATCCAGCAGATCTCATCAAACCCAACAAATCTTATCAAAACAAATTAACACTTCAATAAACAATATCAATCAAACTCTAATCAAATTCCAACAAAAATGCAATTAAACTCTAATCAAATTTTAACAAAAATGTAGTTAAACTCTAATCAAATTCCAACAAAAATGTAATTAAATTGTAAATCAACTCTCAAATTTATCAAGAATTGGGAATGAAAATTGAAAGAAGAATGAAAAAACATGAAACCCAACTTTCGTCAAACCCAGTGACTAACAAGGCTGGGTTCGATGAACCACAGCAAGGTTGGGTTTCGACTAGGGATGTCAACGGGGTCTTGCGAGATCGGGGTGTCCCTTCCCGTCCCTGTTCCCGTCCCCGTCCCCGTCCCCGTCCCCATCCCTGTCCCCATCCTCGTCCCCGTCCCTGCGAATGGCGAGACGAGGATCCCAACTAGGATTTTTAACGGGGGCAGATTTTGTCCCCCATCCCCATTTCCTGTGGGGAACAGGGATTCCCGCGGGGATCCCCATTCCCCACCAATTAATATTTAAATAAATATTTTTTACATCAAACATAAATAAAGATTAATTTAATATAAATAATTAAATTAATAAACTTGTTCCAAACATAAATAAAGATTAATCAAACATAAGCTATTTGAATTGGTGGTTAAGCTTGAAATGATCAATCCACACTTTGTTCTTGCGTATTAGACATTTATCACCTAAAAATAAATTTAAAAAACAGTTATGCCTTTACATTGAAATATAAAATAAGCTTTGAACTTTTCTCTAGTTAATGGAAATTCTTCCCTTTCACAATTTCACTAGAATTCACAGTAAACTCTAAAAATTAAATAGATAGCCAAGCATTCACAAGTTTCTCAATTTCTTGATTTTATTGAGAAGCTACTACACTTTTTTATGCTTTACGTATATCAATATATGTAAAGAAATTAACTAGGCAATTCATTAATAAAAATGGCTATGAGCAGTTAATGAATCTAGCAAATTCTAGAAAATCTAGACTTTCTCTATGTTAAATCAACCCATAGACAAAATTATTTAAATTTCTTACCATTTGGATCTGTAGCTTGTAGTTGTAGGTGGAGTGGTTCGACAACAGAGATAGTTCAGCAGCTCAGTAGCAGTCGTAGAGGTAGTTCAATAGTCCACAGATCGACTTTAACTTCGACGTTGAGTAGCAGCAATGGTAGTGGCGCAGCAGCAACAGAGGAGCAACAACAATCTAGACTCCAGACGGATTTGGTTCAATAGCAGCAGTAGTCCAAACTCTAGATGGATCCGGTTTGGCAATAGCAGTGTGTTTGAGGTAGAAGGGTGAGATGTCAAATAGAGAAAGGTAAAAGGGTGGCAATGAAAGGAATCGAGGGATTTAAGGTTTGAGATTCGTAGGAGAGGGCCAAAGGGGAAGGTCGAAGGTGACCTAGTTAAGAGACAGAAAGAGTCCGAGAGGAGAGTGAGAGGCAGAGGTAGTGTGAGAACTGGAGAAATGAATAAGGTTACTTAGGGTTAAAACGATTGGGTTGGGTTGAAAAAAATTCGGTTAAATTTTATTGAATTGGATTTGAATTTAAAAATTATATTAAATTTAAAACGAAATTAATTTTTATATATTTTTTAAAATTTTCATAGGAATGAGGATCCTCACGGGGTAGGAAAAATTTCCCACAAATTTTTGTGGGGGAATTGCCCCCCATCCTCGCCCCATGGAGAGGGATATTCATTCTCACCCCATCCCTGTGGTGGGTATACCCATGGGGCCCATGGGGCCCATGGGGATCAAGACAAATTGCCACCCTTAGTTTCGACGAACCCAACAAGGTTGACTTTGATAGAACCCAGCTTTGCTGGGTTCATCGAAACCCAATTCATCTGGGTTCATCGGAACTCAGCCGATTTGGGTTTCATCGAACCCAGCTGCTAGGTTCAATGGAACCTAGCAAATCTGGGTATTGTAATTCCACGGACCCAAGATAGGAAAGAAAGAAAGAAAGAAGGGGAAAAAGGGGGATTGGGAGGGTGAGGGTAATAATGTAATTTTATTTGTTTTTTATTAAAATATAAATATTTATTTACATGACATTTTTATTTATCTATATAACATAATTATAATATACATTATTACCACATCATCAAAAAAATTAAAAAAATATATCATATGGAATTATGTAACTGTTACGTAATACTTAATTGATGGAGGAATCAAAATTATGCATTTTTTAGAGTTGAGAGATTAAAAAAGTATAAAAAATAGTTTAAAGATAAAAAAATATGAAAACTTATAAAGTTGAGAGGTCAAAATTAATATTTAACCAAATTAAAAAAATATATAATATAAACAAATTATCCCCAATATCACAATAGCTATTTCCTTTAACACTCAGCTTAAGCGTCGACTAGCATTTCCCATCCAGTTTTGAGGGTTATCATGATGTATTTGGGTTTATATATAATAATAATAATTATTATTATTATTATGATTATTATTAAAAATTTATTATTAAAAATAAATAATAATATAATAATATTTTATTCTTGATAAGTTGTATTAAATAATAAGGTCCAGTACTTTAAGGTTACTGGCCCCTTCTTGCCAAACGTGTTTAGGATTACCAAAACTTGGGTTTTAATCTCATGTCCCCTTTTTTCGAAAAAATTTTTCATTGTTCAAAAAAAATATATATATTCTCAATTAATTTATTAATTATTAATTTGATTTTTAAATAAATTACTTTATCTGTTTATTTTTAATAAATTTAATTTAACTTTTAATTTTTTAAATAAAAATTTAATAATTTATATAAATAACAATTAAAATTTTTTTCTTCTTCCATAATGTTCTCGTTAAGTACCTTTATTTAATAAATTAAATTTTCAATTATTATTTATATAATATATTACATTTTCATATAAACTTCATACTTAAAAAGTCAAAAAATTAAAATGTCTAATTAAATTTATTAAAAATAATAGAGAGTATCTACTTTCTTTAATATTGTAACACTTACAATATAAAAAATAAAAGAAAAAAGGAAACTTTGCACAGTGAGAAAAAGGCTACATAGAATTCTATATCCTA